TCTTTTCTTCTGGCACCCCCATAATTTGGATGTTGGTACTACTTGAAGTTGTCCCAGAAGCTCCTTACACTATCTTCATATTTTTGGATTCTTTTTTCTTTTTGTTTTTCCTGTTGGGTGTTTTTTGTTTGTTCATATTTCAAATCTTTGACTTGATTCTTGTGATCCTCTAGTCTGCTGTTGGAACTCTGTATAATATTCTTTATTTCAGTCAGTGTATGCTTAATTTCTAGTTGGTCCTTTTTCATAACCTTGAGGGTCTCACTAGATTTCTTGAGGGTCTCACTAAATTTATCGGCGGTTTCTAGAAAATTCTTGAAAAACCTTATAAGTGTGGTTTTGAACTCTATATCCAGTAGTTTGCTTTCCTCCATTTCTGTCATTTGAGACCTGTTTCTTTGTCTCCATATTTTTTATGCTTCCCTGTGTTGATAGAGTGGCTTTCTGTGCTAGGTGTCCTATAGGGCCCAGTGGCTCAGCCTCCCCAATTACCTGAGGTGGACACTCTTGGTGCACCCCTTTGTGGGCTGTGTGCACAGTCTTGTTGTAGTTAAGCCTTAATTGTTGTAGGTATCACTCGGAGGAATTGACCTCCAGGCCAATTGGCTGTGAGAATCAGCTGTGGTTATGGTGGGAGAACTTCTGTGCTGGAGACACCCTTCTGGGGCAAAACTTGCTTCAGTGGGGCTTTGGTGCTCACTGAGTCTTCCCCCTGAGTGTGTCCCTTATGGATCAGAGGAGTTGTAATCTGGATGGTCCCACTCTGACCACTGGGTACACTGGCTCTTGGATCTCTAAGGAGGTGCTAATCTAGCCTCTGCCTGAGGCTACCCAACAGGAGCTATGAGAGATCTGTAGATTCCTCTTCTTTTTTAGGGGTTTGGAGGTGCCCAGATGAGGCCCAGCTGTGAAGCAATGCAAGCTGCTGTGGGGCCTTGGGGCTTCTTTTGGAAGTTCTGGGTCTCTCTAACCCAGCTGCAGTTTGTTAGGTAATTTTCAGATTGCAAAGGGCCAGGCCTTTCATATGCAAAAGCCTCTGCACACAGCTTGGGTGGGGCGGGGTCTCAGGGGATCAACAGGGCGGAGCAAGCAGCTATAGCTGCTCCTCAGTCCTACCCTAAGAGGCCCCGCGTCTCAGTGTCCCGGTAATCACTGCAAGCACCTCTGAGAGAAAGCCGCCCTCGAGTTCCAACTGATGCCAGACAGTCCAGTTTCTCCGCGTATGAGTTTGGGTCCCCAGAGACTCACCCAGAACTGGAGTTCAGAGAATTCGGGAGCTTGAGACTCCCTCCTGATTGAAAAAGACAACTGTGTCCTCAGTTGCCCTTTCCACTTGTGCCTCCGTACTTCTGCACTTTACTTCCCCACCTCCTCTGAGTCTCAGTGTGCTTTTCTCTTTCCTTCTAGTTGTAGAATTTCCACTCAGCCAGCCTTCCTGTGGTTCTGGATGATGTCCGTTTTGTCTTTTAGTTGTATTTTTGAAGTGGTTGTGCGAGGCAGCAATCTCCGGTGTTTACCTATGCGGCCATCTTGGTTTCTCTGGAGTTTGCATTTTTAAATCATCTTTATAGTCATCTCCATTCTGGAATCCAACCAGAAACAATCTTAACAAAGCACATTTTAAAAAATATTTTTAATTTTTTTTTTTTTTTATTTCAGAGAGAGGAAGGGAGAGGGAGAGAGGGATAGAAACATCAATGATGAGAGAGAATCATTGATGGGCTGCCTCCTGCACGCCCTCTACTGTGGGTGGGGCCCGCATCCTCGGCAGGTGCCCTGACCGGAAATCAAACCGTGACCTCCTGGTTCATGGGTTGATGCTCAATCACTGAGCCATGCTGGCTGGGCCCCAAGCACTCTTAGTAAACTCTAGTCCAGCCGTGGGCAAACTACGGCCCGCAGGCCGGATCCGGCCGGTTTGAAATGAATAAAACTAAAAAAAAAAGACCGTACCCTTTTATGTAATGATGTTTACTTTGAATTTATATTAGTTCACACAAACACTCCATCCATGCTTTTGTTCTGGCCCTCCGGTCCAGTTTAAGAACCCATTGTGGCCCTCGAGTCAAAAAGTTTGCCCACCCCTGCTCTATTCCCTCCCCCATAGTTTATATAAATATAGTTTTGTATATGGCACAAGATTTTCAATTCTGCTTTTTCTCTTTTTTTTGCTTGTCCTTGCTTCACATAGCCCTTTCCTCACCATCATATCAGGACACTGCTGTCTGCTTGTCATTCTTACACAGTGAAATAGTGATGTATTTGGTCCTTAGTTATAATAAACCAGAGGCCTGTTGCACAAAAGATTCGTGCAATAGGCTTTCCCTTCCCCTGCCTGCCGGCACCAGTTTTCCTCCGGCACCTGGGACCCAGGCCTTCGCTCCGGCCGGAGCCGCCTTCAGTCTATGCTGCTCCGGCCGGAGCCGCCTTCAGTCTTCGCTCTGCCGCTTCGCGCCTACGTATGCAAATTAACTGCCATCTTTGTTGGCGATTAATTTGCATATCTCGCTGATTAGCCAATGGGAGGCGTAGCGAAGGTACGGTCAATTACCATGTTTGTCTATTATTAGATAGGATAAGCCACTTTCTCTCTTGAGAAAGTACTGGTTTATAGTTCCACCATCACTGCATTTGGAGGGCAGTTGACTGTGGGCTTTGGACAGGTAAGCAACTCAGAAGATTCTAAATTGTCAGCTCCAAATCCCAACATGGTAACAGCGTCCTTCCTCCCTCAGCAATTAAAATGAAGAGTTGGGTGACTTCACCCTGGTCCCCAGCCTGCAGGCCAGTCCTCTGCTGGCTTCCCGGTTACCTCTCCCTTCCTCCTCTACTCAAGGAGTAAGGCCTTCAATTGCAGAAACCAAATTTGGACTTATTAGCCAAATCTAGACTTAATTATCAAAGTCCTAAACTCCCAGAGATATTCTAGAACCAAAAATAAAAGATAGTAGAGGTGTCCACTATTTGGTGTTTTTATGCAGGTTGCTCCTTTATTCTGATGGCTGACAGAAAATTAATTGTTCTGTGGTGAAAATAATTGGTTTTCCCACTGCTGTTGTCCACAGTGCCTGTATTTGTCACAGTCTGCTTCTCGAAGCCTGCTCTTCCCATCTGACTCTGAATTATCGGTCAGCCAAGAGACAGACTTGCCAGGAGTGTGGGCGCTGGGGCACTGCCCAGGTCTCCCGCAGGCATCATGTGCATGTTTAGAGGGTTGCGTAGCTGTATTGTGAGGAGTCATACAGGAATAGTTTTACCTGTTTGTTTTGTTATATTTTAATTTGTTACTTCAGCTTTCTCCCTCTTAGCCTGTCTCCCTCTCTCTCTTTGTTCATCTCTCTCTCCTTTTTGGTGTGAGATTTATTTGCCCTCTTTGGAGTGTCTCCTTCCTATGTTTAATAATTGTTTGCTTCATCTTTTAAACACTGGGAAGCCAGTAAAGATAAAGCAAAGTTACATAAGAAAAGACTAAGGAGACCTAAATCTAAGCTTGACATTTAAAAAAAAAAAAGGTGAATTCTATTCTATGGCTTTTTAAAATAGAATGAATTCTATTCTATGGCTTTTTAAAATAGAGAATGTTTTAAAGCAAAATGTGGAATTAAGTGGTGTCCTGAAAAGAGCAGTCTTTGCAGACAGGCAACTGAAGTTGAGTTCTTGCTTCCCACTTCCTGCCATTGACTTTGGGTGAGTGCCGTCAGTTTCCTCGCCTGTAAAGTGGGATCCCTGTGCTCACTTCTTAGAGCTATGAGGAATCATGAGACCACAGAGCTTGGTCTCCTTCTAAGAAGGCTGAGGTAAGGTTCCAAAGGAACTTGATAAATGGTAGGGCTCCAGGGTACCCTGGTTAGGTGATTGTCAGCCCACTGACTTGTGAGTCACTTCTCTGAAGGCTTTATAGGAAATGGGGGTAAGCCCTCTCAAGGAGAGGAATGTAATTACCCATAACAAGATGAGGGGAGGTTGAAGGTGTGTGGAGCTCCAGTGTAGCTAGAAAAGTCAGTTAGGTCCACTGACCACATGCGGAATGGGAGTGAGCCAGCTGAGTACTCACTCCCCTTGTGAAAGGCACACAAAACCACAGCTGAGCGTATAGAGCAAAGCCTGGGAGGTAACTCATTCTTCCAGAATATTTTGAAATAATCACACTCTTTTAAGAACTGCCTGCTTTTTGTCTCCCACTTTTTAAGTGGATAAAACTGCAAAAACCAAAAAGATTACAATGAGATTGCAAAGTTGCTCCAAAGAGAGATAATTTAAAATTGTTAACCTCAACAAAGAACCTTAACTAGTCTCCTCATGCCTTCCATGTCTGAGGAGAAAGGATAAGGTGAATTATTTAAAACAGAGAGTTTTTAGTTGGCTAAAACAATGTATTCTGGAGTTATTAGAAAGTTAAAATGGGAAATCAATAGGGATAAAGGATTCTAACTGGCGATGAAGAAAAAAAGAGATCAGCACCTTAGATCATTCTTCAAGGCAGATAACTTTTTTTAACCTCACTTCCAATCTGTTACACTCCAGTGGCAGAAAAAGTTATTTTGGATTTTCTTTTCTATTTTGATGTTTTTCACTACATGGTTGAACTTGATTTAATTTTTCATTGTATTTTGCAATGAAAATCCTGTAAAATATTGCCAAGAAGCATTGATATTTTATGAGTTATAGAAAAGTCATGAAACTTTGCTATCACCCAAATAAAGTTGGATTATGTTTCCCTCATTACTAGGAAGGATATAATTTTTCTCCCTGGAAAATATTTAATTCATATGCTTAAAATGAATTTTCTGCAGTTTTAAGCAGAATAGTGAATTTCTATGCAAAGACTACTGCACTTTATGACACAAAAGCTAATGTAATGAGTTTTGTAAAAAAAGATGCTGTGGTGGGATCAATGTTCCTCAATCTTTGAGATATATTGTATTCCTTCAGAAAATTGTTTGGGGCTGTCTACATTAACTAGTTGTTCTAATATTCTGTAATCAATGGTGATTGAGTTCTAAGTATTTCTTTCTTTAAGCACAATTGACAAACATTTATTGTATTTTTGTATGTATATGAGTTTGTGGGAATGGTGCCCAGAGCCGTGGGTGCTTTACTCCATTTTGTGAAAATGGTGCTATAATACCAACTTCATATGGGTAAACAGGGACAGACATCTCATATACAACAAGTTACATATATCTAAGGCCACGCAGTTAAAAAGGTCAGTCTATGGACACAAGGTCAGTGCATTTTCTCCTACACTATCTATATATATAAAGAGGTAATATGCTAATTGTCCTAACAGTGTCTCAGTCACGACCAGTCAAAAGGATGCGCACGCACAGGAGCTGGTGGGCGGGGATGGGGGCGGGGACTTGTGCTACCGGGACATGAGGCTGCAGTAGGAGGCGCGCAGGCCTGCAGCACCCTCCAGCCTGGAGGTGGGCATCAGGATGGGGGCAGGGCCTCGGCAAAGAGCTCTCAGCACTCCTGCGCCAGGGTCTGAAGGCGCGGAGAGGAGGGGAGAGCACAAAGGCAGTTAGGGGGTTTAGGCCAGTAGGGGAGAGCAGATAGGCAGTTAGGGGGATCAGACAAGGAGGGGAGAGCAGTTAGGGGCATCAGGCAGGCAGGCAGGTAGCACTTAGGAGCCAGTGGTTCTGGATTGTGAGAGGGATCCCAGATTGGAGAGGGTGCAGGCCAGGCTGAAGGACCCTCCCGCCCCTACCCCCACCCCCACCGCATGCATGAATTTCGTGCACCAGGCCACTAGTTATTCATAAAGAACATGGATTCCTCATGTCACACCCCAGACACTTAATTTTATTCTAGAACAGCATTTTCTCAACTGTCTCTATAAACTCTAGTTTATCAGGACCAAGTTCTGCCAAAATTGGATTAGGTGATTACATGTGCTTAGGTAAGGGTGGCTTAAACAAAATAAAGCAGACTTCTTTACTGCAAGACATCTCAGAACCTTCTTGAGCTCACAGGCATTGTGACTTGCCTGCATTGTGAGAAAGGCAGATGTTGTGGGGGGTGGAGTGGAGGGAGGGGCATGGTTTGCAGAACCCACTTTATAAAATGCTTTGACATTGATCCCTAGTGCCATCAATGAAGACAGCCTTTTAATAACACCGTTAAAAGAAACTCTTCACTATTATCTTTGAACATAGAGGGAGGATATGGGTACATATAAGCTTGCAATTAAATCCTGAGATTATAGCCCTGTGATAAGGCATTTCTTAACAGGCAGGGCCTCTCGACTCTTTCACAAAACAGCTCTTCATGCCACTGTCTCAGGAAGGCACAGGTCATAGGTCAGACCTCCAGGGCCTTCACCTGTGCCTCCCCTGTCTCCCAGGACTTGTCCCTCTGGACATGTCTACCCAGGACAGTTGCAGATTCCCCTGGCACCTCTGCATCTCCTAGGAGCGACCATCATCAGCTCAGTGTCAGTGTGGTAGCTAAAATTTTGCTCAGAGATGAAATATTTTATACCCGTAGCAACGAAATGTTTCCGTGTAGGCATAGCACAGGTCAAGACAAGAGTTATGTTAACATTTGAACTGCCCCTCTTTCAAGAACCTGAAAAAGGAGTGAACATGGTTTCTTCTCGTTCTGTTGCAGGGGAGAACGCAGGGCAGACACCCATGAACATCAATCCTCAGCAGACCCGTTTCCCTGATTTTCTGGACTGTCTCCCGGGAACCAATGTGGACCTTGGAACTCTGGAATCTGAAGATCTGATCCCCCTCTTCAATGATGTAGAGTCTGCTCTGAACAAAAGCGAGCCCTTTCTGACCTGGCTGTAGTCAGTATATTGTAACCTGTGTGCAGCCATGACCTGACATTTCCTGGGCCTCTTGGGAAAAGCGATGGAGCAGAGCAAGTCTGCAGGTGAACCGCTTTCTGCCCCCATGACTCATGCTCCCTCCTTTCCATGTGGCCAGTTTAATCATTGCCTGGATTTGATTGATAGTAAACTAAGTTAAACATAAATAAATATTCTATTTTCATTTTCTGCAAGCCTGCATTCCTGTGGTGGGTTATGCAGAATTGCGTTCCTGTTTTTCTCTCTGTAGCCCCATGACTAAGCTTTATGGGTGTTAATTGAAATTTTTACATCAATTGATTATAAACCATAAAAAGTTGACCACAGGCAGTGATTTCTGACAGGTGGCTCGGTCCAGGAAATGTATACAAAATCAGACCTGATTTACAGTTTTAAAGCTATTGATGACAATAGTACCAAATGCTTTAAATATTTACCTGAACTTTAAAAATCATCATATAGATAGTAAAATTTTGCTGTATGGAATACCATGTAGTGCTGAATCCATCCTGGTTCTGATGATTCTTATTACTCTGTATTTACAAAGTCACACACAGTCCTCTTGTAGTTTATGCTCCATCATTTTGGGCATAGCATCTGCATAGCTAGTCCTTCCAGTGGGAGAGTGGCGGCAGCATGCCTTAGTCCCTATGCTGCGGATCTTATGAATGACACCCGTTTGCTACTAATTATGAGCATTTATTAAAACATTTAAAATTACAAGTTATATTTTTTAAAAATTACTGCTTAGAAATTGATGTTTATTTTATGAAGCACTATATTTTGTAGCTGATGACAAAGGGCAGGCAAATATTTTTGATGAATCAGTGGCAACTGCATTTTTGTCTTTTGAAATTGTTCTGAAACCATCAGAACACATAGCTTTCAGTCCAATGGCATACACAGCAAGCTGTTGCTTTTTAAATTCTGAAGCCTTGTCAGTTTTGCTTTTAAGATTTCAAGTTTTAAAATAGTCTTATCTATGAAACTGTTTGAAGGATGAAGCAGATCTCTGACTGACATTTAAAAATATGTCCTCTAGATGGTGTGTGATGGAGGCATATGTTTCTGAATTCATTAAAAGTGATTCCTAAGTATATTATCCTAATCCTTTTGTTACAGTTGGTATAAAAAGGCATGAAATATGTACTCAATACCTCTTATGTAACCAAAAAATGTTTTTTTATTAGCTTTTAAGGACTGAGAGAGTGCATCGGGTTCACCTGGCATGCACTCTGTCTGCCAATGAAGTCCTCAACTGTTTAGTGTTTTCAACTGACGTTATTTATAATATATGAATTTAATATCTTTTTTAAAAGACAATAATTGAGGTCTCTGGGAGGAACCTTTCAATTCCCAAGGGGACTTATTCATTTGGGATCTTAAATGAGATCCTTTTGATCTATCAGAATATAGATGGGCAGAGTACCTTTTATCTTGTTGGAAAGAAGGCACGTGGAAAGGTCAGAGATTAAGTAGTAAAGTTATGGAATATAGTGGAAAGGATACCAGTTGTGAAATGAAAATAGACAAGTTATAGTACCCCAAAAGCAAGACAGGCAGAAGGTATGAGCAGTGCACTCCCAAAACAGAACAACAATTTTCGACTACAAACTTTATACCAAAAGACTGTTGTAGAAGAAAAGAATGCTTTCGTGCACTTTATGTGGCGGGGGAGGGGCAAGGATGGAGCCCTGTTCATGCTGATGCTGAGCAGCAGGTGGACAGGGCATGAGCCTGCTGTGCTTCCTACACAATGCAGCGATTTCTTTTTCCTGAAGGACCCGTGATTTAAGTTCCTTTTATTTCTTCTCTCTCCAAGTCTCCGAGAGAGATGGGGGTGATGTTTATGTTGCTACTAAATTGAAGGAAGCACTATTTCTTTTTCTCTTGTGTTAGCAATAATTGCAAAAAGAGTTGTACATTCTAAGAAAGAAAAAAAAAAAAAAAAAAAAAAAAAACAAGGGACCTAACAAAACTGAGCAGTGTTACTGTATTTTTAAAAAATATTTTTATAGACTCATTTTCAGGTTATTAAGTGTAAAAGAAACAGATACCCCTCTTTTTTTCCTAAAGTAGTTAAAACATCGATGATTTGTATTATCAATTTTTAGAAATAATTTCCTAATAAGCTTGTGGCATTAGAAAATACTAGAATTTTTTAAGTGAAATTAGTTGAAACATTTGTTAATGAACATAACAAACATTTTTTTCAGAATTAAACATGGACTCTGACTATGTGCTTACTAATAGATAAAGCCAGATATAATTTTTTGTGTTTGTTTTTAAGGCCATAAAATATGGCTTTTGTTAAAGAACACTAAAGCTAGAAATCTATGTAAGAACAGCTTTTTAAAGGCTACTTCCTATTATTATGAGTGTTAAAACCCCTGCAGAATCATGATAAGGTGCTATTTATACTGTTTTTCTTATTAGAAAACAACCACCAGGATATCTAGTCTTTTTAGTTCTACATCCATCAACTTTAACATTTCATTCAGTAGTTTTGCCATAGAAAAGGCATATTAAAATTGAAATAGGAAAGTAATTTCATGTATCTTTCTTTCTAGGTCCCCCCCCCCCCCCATTAAACACATTTTTTTGAAGTAAATACATTGTTAAAACCTATTTGCAACTCCATTCAATCTAAGTAATTCTTAGTGTTTCACCTTATATTAGGATGTGAAATGCCATCTCTTTCACTGATTACACAGTCAACCAGAAGCACATAAAACAGGAAAAAAAGACAGTATGCCAAGGGGCTATTCCCAGTTTGGCAGAAAAGCTCTCAGTAGAAGAAGGTGATCTGAGTGATAGGAGTATAGGAGTGTTGCTAATTACGAGTTGTTTTCTCATGATAGAATTAGGAAGTAACTTCTGAAAGTACAACTTCTATGAAAAAAAGAAATTATAGGTTAGTTTAATTGGGAAAATGGACCATTGACAGAGACTGTTTCCCTAACACACTACATCATTTCTGTGCTAGTACTTTAACTTTTTACAAACTTTACTTCTACATTTTATAATGTGTTTAATTTTAATTTAGAATGCTATGTGTACAGAGAGTATGCAGCCAAATCAGGCAGATCAAACCATTTTACCTGGACTTTGGTACTAGTTTTTACTTCTCTGATTCTGTAAAAGAAAAATAAATACAATTGAGTTTCCATATGGAGCCTTTGTCTTTTTATTATTTGTGTGTGTTCCTTTTCCTGAGGGCTTTGGGTGGTACTATACTAAAGAGAGGCTTATGCAACCCTCCTGGCAGAGAATGAAAGAAAGAAAATTTTGTAGGCAAACATTTTTTTGGCTCAAATGCTTGTTTTTCAATATTTTAAATATCCTTTATTTGAAGTGACCCTCTGGGATTTTTAAAGACTGTGCATATGTATTGTGTGTATACTTTAAAACTTCTACTGTCCTTCCAGCACCCTCACAGACTTGACAGACATCAGAAGTATAGGAATTCAGTTTTTCTTCTATTGTTAACAGTATGGTATACCTCCTTGTGGTCATTCACTCTGTGCACTGGGACTGTGTTTTCTCTGCTTGTTGAGTCCCTTGACTCTCACTGCCATGATCCTTTTGTCACTGCACAGGAGCACTGGGGGAGCACACTTGTGGCAGAGAGTGTTTAAGCAGAAACATTCAGCTAAATAGCAGAGAGAAGAGATGCTAGTGGAAATATTACCCACATTCCAGGGTCTAAGTCTCATGCATCGTTTTAAAAACCATATTTCATCATCATTTGTAAGGTAACATGCTCATTGTTGAAAATGTTATAAATCACAACATGTATAATGTAAAACTAAAAGTTCTGTATCTCCCAAATCTCACATTAAAATAAAAAAGTACATTAGATGCTTTATCTATACGTGTGATTTTTTTTTTAGCAAATGGAAAGCATTTATACATGCTGTTTAGAAGCTTTCATTTTTTTCTCTTAATAACAATGATATTACTAATACCTATTGAGCATATACTATATGACAGAAACTATGCAAAACAATTGCTATAATCTAATATGCACAGCAACCTTACTATTTTAAGGATATTATTCTCAATTTACAGATGAAGAAATTGAGTATTGGAGAGGTTATGTAACTTGTATAAGGTCACACGATAAGCAACAGATATATCCCATACCTTCTGGTCATCTTTCCATGCCAGTACATATATTTGTATACTTCATTATTTTTAACAACAAATAATATTCTTTTGTATGGATGTCCCTTATTGATAGCCAGGTGGTAGCTAAAAATACTGCTTTAGAAAAGGGCATATTCTTGTGTGAATATGGCTGGAGGGTAAGTAACTTCCTAGGAAAGAAATTACTACATCAAAAGATACGTGATTTTAAATATTGATAAATTCTGCCAAATATTTTTCAAAAAGACCTACCCATTTCTATCTCCAACAACAATGTGTACAAAGGTCTGTTTCACCATTGCCAACCTAGAGCTGCATAATTGCCTAACTTTTTAACATCATTTAAAAATTTTTTTAAATGGAGGGGAGTAAGAGATCAACAGAAGGACTTGTATGCATCCATATAACCATAACTAATGGACATAAGACACTGGGGGGTAAGGGAGGGCAGGGGCCTGTCAAGGGCGGGGGGGGGGGGAAGGACACTTATGTAATACCCTTTGTAATACTTTTAGCGAAAAATAAAAAAATAAAAAAAAAAATTTTTAATTATAGTTGACAAAATATTATATTAGTTTCAGGTGTACAACCCAGTGATTAGACATTATAAAACTTACTGATAAATCTCATACCCATCTGACATTATACATAGTTATTAGAATATGATTGACTATATTCCCTATACTGTACTTGACATCCCCATGACTATTCTGTAACTACCAATTTGTACTTCTTAATCCCTTCACCATTTCACTCATCCATTCCTCCTCCCATCTGGTAACTGTCAAAATGTTCTCTGTATCTATGAGTCTGTTTTTGTTCTGCTTGTTTATTTTGTTCTTTAGCTTTAATTATTGATAAATATGTATTTATTGCCATATCTTTGCCCTTTTCCCCCCTTCTTGAAGGTCCTTTAATATTTCATTTAATACTGGTTTAGTGGTGATGAACTCCTTTAGCTTTTTCTTGTCTTGGAAAGTCTTTATCTGACCTTTGATTCTAAATAAAAGCTTCGCTGGGCAGAGTAATCTTAGCTGTAGGTCTTTGCTTTCATCACTTTATTTCTTGCCTCTCCCTTCTAGCCTGTAAAGTTTCTGTTGAGAAATCAGCTGATAGTCTTATGGGAGCTTTCTTGTAGGTAACTAACTGCTTTTTCCTTTCTGCTTTTAAGATTCTCTCTTTGTCTTAAGACCTTGGCATTTTAATTGTGATGTTTCTTGGTGTGTGCTTCTTTGGGACTTTCTGTACTTCCTGGACATGGTGTCTGTTTTCTTCACCAGATTAGGGAAGCTCTCCATCATTATTTTTTCACATAGGTTTTCAATTCCCTGCTCTCTTTCTTCTCCTTCCAGTACCCTCATGATGTGAATGTTGGTATGCTTGAAGTTGTCCCAGAGGCTCCTTACACTCACCTCATTTTTGGATTCTTTTAAAAAGTATTTTTGCGGTTCTGATTGGGTGTTTCTTGCTTCCTTATATTCCAAATTACTGATTTGACTCTTGGCTTCATCTACTTTACTGTTGATTCCCTATAAATTATTCTTCATTTCAATTAGTGTATTCTTCATTTCTGACTAGTTCTTTTTTTATGGTTTCCATATCCTTTTTATGCTATTGAAGTTCTCTCTAAGTTCATCTATTCTTCCCCTAAGTTAATTGAGCATTCTAATAACCAGTGTTTTGAACTCTGCATCTAATTGATTGCTTGTCTCCATTTTGTTTAGTATTTTTTCTCTAGTTTTGTTTTGTTCTTTCATTAGGGACATAGTTCTTTGTCTCCTTATTTTGGCAGTATTTATTTCTATGTATTAGGTGGACCTGCTACATCTCCCGGGCTTGTTACAGTGGCCTAATATAGTATGTGTACTGTATGGTCCAGGGGCACAGCCTCCCCCTTCACCCAATCAGAGCACTCCAGGAGTACCCCATCCTCGTGTGGGCTGGGTACACCCTCCTGTTGTAGTTGAGCCTTGATTGCTGTTGGCACCTCAATGGGAGGGATTTACCCCCCAGGCCAGTTACCAGGTGTACTGGTTAATAATGCGAATTTTTTTTCAATAGATGGAGTTACACATATGTTGATATATATGCGATTTGATATGTATGCTATTTTGTTATGTTGACAACAAGCTTCAAAACTTCATATGTCAAATTTTCTGAAGGTGTTAACATCATAGATATTTTTACACATAAAAATGTCGAATTTCATGCCAAAAAGCATTTGTGGGAAGTTTTAATTCATTACTTTATTTTGAAGAAAAGTGCTGCTGAAAGTTATTGTATACTTCGGGAACATTCTCCATCTCAAGATACTAGTAAGTCCCAGTTGGTGGCAGGATATGACTGAGGACTTTGTGTTGGTCTCAGGCAAAACACACGTGAAGTACACACAAACCATGTCAACAAACCCTGGGTAACTGTCTTGGCACACACCTGTAAATGCAGGAAGAGACTGCTATCTAGCACATATTGTAATCCATGGAGTGTATTCGTCCAAAAGGTGAGATGAGACAAAAGTAAGAAGAGGGAAGAGGTGGCAGAGGTGGAAGAGGATGGAGAGGAGAAGGAAGAACAAAATAAACCCAGGATTTAGAACAATTCATGGGAAAGAACCACTGATTGTACTCCAAGGAGAAAAAATAATCTGCCTTTCCATAAAATTCTTTTGTTCTGTGTTAGAAACTATAATAAGCTGACTCTGATCTAAACACAACATATCAGGAAGGGTTCAATCAGAGATCAAATCTATATATATAAAAGACTAAGCTACCATCAGACCGACAAGTAGGTATGACGTGCACTGGCCACCAGGGGGCAGACGCTCAACGCTGGAGCTGCCCAGTGACAGCAACTCTCGCACTCTGGGACCCCTCCCAGGGATGGAGAGCCAGTTTCGGCCCAATCCCTAAAGGCCAGGCCGAGGGATCCCACCTGCCAGAGGGACCCCGCTCACTCCCCAGATGCTTTTCAAGCCTCGGCGCTGCCCCAGGTGCGGGCAGCCAAGGAGGGACTGCGGAAAGTTGGCTCCAGGGCATGTCTGGCCAGTCTCACTCAGTCCTGTCCTGCCAGCCACCTTCTAATTAATTTTAATGTGCACGAATCTGTGCACTGGGTCACTAGTAGTATTATAAAAAGCATTCAATTTCACTGTTAAGCCCATCAGCAGATGAGTGGATTAAAAAACTGTGGTACATCTACCCAATGGAACACTATGCTGCTGGAAAAAAGAAGGAACTCTTACCATTTGCAACAGCATGGATAGACCTGGAGAGCATTATGCTAGTGAAATAAGCCAGTCTGAGAAAGATAAATATCACATGATCATCTCACTCATTTGTTGAATATAATGAACAACATAAGCTGATGAAAAAATATAGATCCAGAGACATAGAAGCATTGAACAGACCATCCAACCTCAGAGGGAAGGTGGGTGGAGTGGGGGAGAGAGAAAAACCAAAGGACTTGTATGCATGCATATAAGCATAACTCATGGACACAGACAGTAGCAGGGGGAGGGCATGTGCTGGGGTGTGGGAATGGCCAGGAGAGGTCAATGGGGGAAAAAGGAGACATATGTAATACTTAAAACAATAGAAAAAATTTTAAAAAGAAGTACAAATTATAACAGTAAGATATTTTATACCTATCATACTTACAAAGATTTAAGAGTTAGACCAAATTTCTCACCACAAAAAAAGAAAAAGAAAATTGCAACTATTTGAATGATGCATGTGTTAACTAATTTGATGTGGCAATCATTTTGCAATATATGCATATATAAAATCACTACGTTGTACACTCTAATGTTATATGTCAATATCTAAATAAAACTGGGGAAAAAAACAATTCATTTTCATTGTATATTATTACTAGAATAGAAAATATATTTTTCAGTCAAATTTTGAATATTATTTACATATTCTACATATCTTCTCTAATATTTTGTGAAAAGTATAAACTGAGGGGAAAACAAAAAATGTTAGAGTTTACACAAATCAAATTTGACTACATTTTTTTTGA